GTACTATCGTGATAACTACAATAAATTTCGCTATTTATCGTAATCATTAGAAATCAGTAGCATGATTATAATCGAATATTATCAAATATCACTATTAATCGAATCGGATATATAGCAATATTTAGTATTACCGCTAGTAAATAAATTCGCTATATATCGATTACTATCACAATCGTGTGTAATCAGCAGGGGTGATTGGTATTGAAATATAATTACCCGGCTAGTAATCAATATATATCGGTCTATTTTTTTTTGCTGATGATATTCAGAAACTCTTGAAAAAGTTGCTGAAGTAATAGGTACTTCAGATGCAAGAGAACCATCATCTGAAAGCTCAACAGATGTTGTAGGGCCAGCCTCAGTAGGATCAACATCATCAACTTCAACTTCTCTCTTTTTCTCCTTATCAACTCTTTTTTTTTTGCTTTTTTTGCTTTTTTAGAAACTAGATTTGTAGAAGATCTTGAAGTAGTGGGCTTGGGTCTGAAGCCTAATAATATATTACCAAATTTTTTTCTAGTTGCTTTAGCTTTCTTATAGTAAGACATTTTTCAAATGATTATACAAATTTAAAAATTTTAATAATTTACTTTTGATGAATCTCTTCATTTATATGAATTATTTTTTTTTAATGTAATCAAAAATTTTATTAGTTATATTAATAGAATGACAATCAATAATTAAAATGTAATGAATAATAACAAATTATGCAATATGATTATGATAAACTTCGAAATATAATGTAATGATAATTGAACTTAAAATTTTTTTACAAACAAACCCCGATCATATATTAACTATTTATAAAAATATTTAATTTATATGTATTAATATGCAATAAGCTTTATAAATTTATACAAATATTTATAATTATTTAATATATATATAAAAACTTAACCATTGTAACATTGTATCTACAAAAATATATATGCTATTAAAAATTTCTTACAAAATTAATAAATATAAAATAAAAGTATTACAGTTTCTGATAAAAATATTAACTTTGACCACTTTCAAAACATGCTACAAAAATATAAAAAATTAAATAATTCTGTTTGTTTATAAAATTATACAAAATTTTTTAAAATTACATTTTCAAATCATATCAAAAAATAAAAAATTAGTACTGATTATTAGTGAGGATTTCAAAACTCTGAAAATAGATATAAATATTATATATTATTTTTTTTGAAAACTACAATAAATTTTTTTAACTATTTGATAATTTATCTAAAATTTGGGTGTAGTGACATAGTGAAGTGGTAGAGTTGTCCCCCCCCAAGTAGCAAGGTCTAGGGTTCAAATCCTACTAGTGATAAAAATTTAAAAACTACTTCTTGTATATCCCTTTCGGATATGTTAACTTAATTTGTAGTGGCATCGTATACTGTAACCAAAAGGGCGTAGACTAGGAGTACTACTCCTGGGAGTACTGTGGTATAACAAGATCTATGGTAGAGCATTTATTTGGGGAAGACCTAAATGAAAGAATGCAAACTGGTGCATGTTGGTGCAAACACAAGATAAGCCTCTATGGTAGACTCTGATATAGAAGTGGTACAAACATCAAGACCTTTGGACTAACCAGATTAGGAAGAACTACTTGCAAATCCCGAGTATGGTGTTCAATTCGGAAAAGGATAAAGAATAGAGGGTTGGGGCCCCTTGAAAAATAGTTTGAAGTAAGGATTGAAGGAATACAAACCGGTTTAGTCGATGTAAACACAAGATAAATCCATATAAGGGTTAGGCTAGACATATAAATAGTAGAATTATATAGTCTAATGTCGTTAACTGTATATAGTAATATGTACTTTACCCAAAACATTCGTAAAACACAAACACAAACACTAGTCTTCTACATGTCAAAGATCAGAGGATAGGACATTAAAGACCTGGGTAACCAGGTTGGGGTGGTCCTCAGCCACACCGATATCCAGAAGAATCTGATAATAATAGTACTCTAATGCCCAACCAGAGTACTTCTAATTCTTGCAGAACTGTGAGTGACAATGTAGAAGACATTTATAAAGTCCACATTACAATACCCTCTACACCTTATGATTTATCCACCTATTTCAACTAATTTCTCTTATCTATAAACTCTCCTCTAATTCAAGCTCCTCAAACACTTAACTCCTTCTTCTTACACCTACTCAAAATTGGCCTGTGGGACAAACTCTATAAACGAATTGTTATATTTGTTAAAACTGACTACAGTGAAGCACATATTTATTCACCAAGAGAGCCTTGCCCTTTACCAGATCACATTATTATACCTTATCTTAGTACTATCTACCTTAATCCTTTTATTCCTCTTAAATCATATACTTACAACTCTTCCAGTACTAACATAAATCCTAACAATTCATCTACACAACCTGAACAATCTGACTCACATGACTTACACCTTACTATTGCTACTCATAATGTTATAGGCTTTAATATAGACTCTAAAAGACAAATCTGGCAGGATTATTGTACAAACCATGATATTTCAATTGCTAGTATTACTGAGACTAAAATTGCAAACAAAACCAATCTCTCTTTTTGTAATAACAACCTTTATACATATTACTGGTCCAATTCTGACAGTTCTATAGAAGGAGCAGCTATTATGATTCGGAACCATCTCAAGCCCCATGTTCATAGCTGCCTTATACATCCTGGTGAAGCTATTGCTCTAGACCTCTTCTTTAAAAGCAATATCAAACTCCAGATAATTTCTGTTTATCTTTCATCAACTGATGCTACCAGACATAACCTTACCCAAAACCCAATCATCATTTGGATACTACAAGCTCAACAACATAACTTACAACCCATTATCTTGGGAGATTTTAACACACACAATACCGAGTTTAGTTCTTTCTCTAAGTTTAAACTTATTAACTTCCTACACTGCTTTAACATGTTTGACATTGGTGCTTACTTCAACAACACACACTTTACTTGGTCTAACAATAACAAATCTAGCAGAATTGACTTTATCTGGACTAACACTTTCAATATATAATTCCTTCTTTCATACAACCTTGACAATAGCAAAACCTGCACTCTTAGTGACTACTTAATTCTTTCTACTTCCTGGACATTCCCTAATGCCTATAGCAAACCACCTTGACTTCATACCAACATTAGTCATTGAATATTTGATTACAAGGCCACCTCTTGTAAACAATGACTCAAGTTCTCAGAGCTCACTATACGACTACTGGTTCGAGGCATGTTCTAACTACTATAGATACTAATGAAAGTATTGATACAATATAGCACAAAATTTAGCATAGTATCACACATGTGTAATTAAAACAATTCCTAACAAAGTCTCTTGCAAACGTAGCTACAACCACAAATACAGTCTACAATGCATAGCACTTCACATTGGACTTAAAAAACTTGGCCATCTTATGAAAGCTTTCAAAAGTACTATCAACAACAATTACTCTCAACTCTACCTCCCATATATCAATTCCCAAATTCTTATAATCAATAGCTATTCAAAGTGCAACCTTCAATTTCTATCCTCACTTGATCACTATACTGTTCAACCTTGGCTTCAACATGCTTATAGTACTTGGAAACAAGTATATCATGCATACCACCTTGAATACTCACTTCATCTTAGACAGAAAATTAACCAGGCTTCAGAAAGAAGATGCGAACACTTGTCTCAAAGTCTACTCAAGCTATTAACAGTATACTTGACCGATATTAGCCACCTGTCCACTTTACCAATATTAAACTACCAAACCAACTTATTACCGATCCTTCTCAAATTAAACAACATATTCAAACACACTTTTTAAACTGGACAGCCTATAAACCTATTAACTCAAATCTCTTTGATAACTTCTGGCAACAGCACTACAACTCTTATTCTCATATTAACCCAAACTGGTATACATTACTCACCACTCCTATAACAGAAGATGAAGTTCTGCAAATTATTTCTAAACTTCCTAATGGCAAAGCTTGTGGACCTACAGGCATTAGCTATGAAATGATTAAACATCTTAGCCATCATTGTATTACTATTCTTACTGTGCTCTTTAACCACTGCTTATCTCTTAATTCCATACCTCAGTCATGGAAACATGGCAGAATCTATCCCATACCAAAGAACAATGCATTTGATAAAAACTTAAACCTTACCCGCCCTATTAGTCTAATCAAACATATTAAAAAAATATATACTAAAGTTCTTACTAACCATCTAAATAAAGTTTTTTCTATATATCCCATTCTCTCATCTTTTAACTATATCGCATTACCAGGCAATAGCATATCCATCCCTATTTATATACTAAACAACTTATTGAAGATGCTAACTGCAACTACAAAGAGCTATGATAATATCTCAGGTATGAGTAAAGCCTATGACTTGTTAACTTTGACCTTTTTCGGCATACTCTCTACCACCTTTCTCTTCCTCAACCCATTATTAATATCCTTATAGATCTTCTTAATAATCGCCAAAATGAAGTCATAACCAACTTTAGTTTGACAGACCCATACCAGGTTCAAAATGGTATTGATCAAGGAGAGACTATTACTCCTCTGCTATGGCAAATATACTATGACCCACTCATTACTTATATATACTCAACCTTTCCTGAATACTCAATTTCAACTTCTTGGATTACTAATTTTAAAAACTCTACTACCAGCAATCTTGAAACCAACTGCTCTGTTTTGGCATACATGGACAATACTCTTTGGATTGCATCTAGCCAAGAGAAACTAGCCAATATTCTGCTTATAGCAGAATTTTTCTATAATATAGCCAACATTAAAGTCAACCCAACTAAATCAATCCTATCATCTGACGCTAAACCTAATACTTATCATCCAATTTTCTTCAATAGTAAAACACTTCCACTTTGGCCTACCTATCAGCCTTTTAAGTTTCTTGGTTGCTAGTTCACCTTTAACAATAAATACATTAAACAATCTCAATTAATTCTTTCTAAATCTTCTCAGTTAGTCAGAATTGCTAGTACTAAACAAATAACAGATACCCAAGCTCATTATATCATCAGCACAGTTATTATTCCTACTATAAAATATAGACTTCATAATATTGTCTTAAATTAATCAACCTGTAACAAAATCTTTAAACAACATATTAACCTTGTTAAACACAAGGCAAAACTCTGTTGCACTATTCCTACTAGTATTCTTCTTCACCCATACATTTACATCCCCAACTTTATCAAATGCCTTAACAATACTTCTCTTCTCAGAATTTCTACCCAAATTAGAATTCAACAACTTCAAAATAATCTCTGGTCTTCGACTAGTATTTTATCTTATTCCAACCCCCTAATCAATGGTTTTAATCGACATACTATCAATTTTAAAATCATACAACTTCTTAAATACCTATACTGGACAGTAAATCTAAATCTTAATAAACCTATACCCTCAACTATTCAAGAAGGACCAGTTACTCTTGAATCAATTCTGTCACTATATCCCCAATATTCTACTTTCAAAAAACAACTACGCCATCACCACATTTTATTTCTTGACCAAATTACAACTT